CATATGCTAGTATTCTTAAATAAAAATTATGCACTGTTGGATAATTAAATTTCACACTTTGTTGTTATATAAACTGTGGTTGATGTATTGTTTTGGATAATAATATAGACTTCATACATTATTATAATTATTAATTAACCACGTAGCCACACCCCCAATTATTCGATTAATCGACTTAATTTTCAATGATTAATCAACTTCAAATTTGAGTAGTTGTTGGAGCCTTAATCACTATCAGGGCCCCATCAGAGTTATTGTCCTAGGGCCCATGCACATATGTATATATAGCCTACCGTAGATCAGGAAATTAGTGTGGTAGGAAATTTTTGTGGTCTAAAATTGTGCTGTGACTTAATTTTTACTAAATAAGACTGTGTCATGTATTATTAAATGTGGCATGTAATTATATGGGTCATCTAATTTTTTGCAAAATTCTAATCCAGTAAAATTTAAATCACAGCAAAAATTTCCAGATAGACGCCTGTGTACATGTACATATATATACTGTGTTGTACCTGGTGATGTGACTTACATGTAGGAATATTTAATGAAGTACTTAAAGTGGAGAGGAGATTACCCTCTTGAACACATAGATCAGTCCTTGATACTGGAGGGGTACTCTTTGGTAGTGGATTATTGTTAGTCTCACCAAATTAAACTAGAAAAGATGAGACAACAAAAAACTGTATAATAAAACTGGGGGCTACATACAAGTACATCAAGTAAGTATAATGTATAGGAGGTACCTCTAATAAAAGGACAGAATGGGCATAACTTAAAAAATTAAAGTCGGAATCAGCTCAGACTTAATTTCTACAAAGCATAAGGACATCAATACTGTAATAAACATTGGGGTTATTCTGTTATGACCCACTTTGAACAAAACATGGACTATAACCTTGGGGTACAACTTTCAGAATTTTTGGCATTTTTTTCAAAATGGCCGTAACTTTAAAATTTGAATTTGGAATCAGCTGAAACATTCTACACAGCATACATGTAATGTGTACATTGTAAGTACATGTACATCAATACGTGTCAGAAAATGTAATAATAACTAGGAGTGATTTGAAACCATTCTTTGGATAAAACACAAGGCCTTGTGCATTTTTCAGAAATTTTGCATTTTCTTAAAATGGCTGTTACTTGAAAAATTTCATTGAATCAGGTCAAACTTTCTACATGGCATAAGGACAGCAAAGTGTATCAAAAAATGTAATAAACATTTAACGTGATTTCATCACCATTTTTTTGAAAAAAAAAACACCAAGATTTTAGCCTTGAAACTAGTACTAGAATAGCATAACAATATCAATATGTACAGGTACACAATATAAATGGCCACACCCCTATGAAATCATGACTACTATTAACCTGAACAATATCATACCTTCATTATTGAAGAGAAGGTCTCACTCCTTGAGTCAGTGGTTGCCTCCTTCTTAAGTAACTCACCATTTAAACTGTTTATAAACTCAATGGATTTATCCTGTGAATGTATACAATTAAAAATTGATGAATATAATATTAACTTTAGGTATACTATGTACATGTACATGCACATTCACCTCTATTGATATGATGTTCATTCCTAACTCTCTCAGTTACAACTTGAACACAAACCAAACGGCCTAAAAATAACAATAATAATAGTTAATTAACTAATGATTATGTTAATAATAATTAACTAAACGTAACGATAATAATTATAAAGGAGCCATTATTTCTCCTTCAAATACATGCATACATACAGGTACATGTATTG